CTGGCTCCAGGATGAAGCTTGCTGGTTGAATGAGGTCTTTGCCAGAGAAGGAGGTGAAATATAGATATATGACCACGACATGGATTCATTTGCCTTATTTCCAACCCTGCTTTTTCTGCTGGAAGTTCAGTTTCTGGAGCAGGTTCAGTGGGAGGTTAACACAGCTGATGCATTCATAGTAGAGCCTAGAACATCACACCTGACTCGTTGCTCTCATGCTAACCCTTTATGGGAGAAAGTGACAGATGAGAGGCTCCCAAATTGTGCTGATTTTGCCTTTTTCTGTAGGATGGACTCTTTCCCCTGTTCATTACAAGGGTGCCTGAAGAATGATCCCCCAGTTAGACTCCTGAATCTTGATTCCTGCAGGATCAACTATTTGTGTAATCCCATGCAAATCAAGAGCTCATCATAACAGAGGGTCAGAGCCTATAAAGGAAGTCAGTGCTTGCTTTGTTTGTAGACACTGATGTCTCTGTTCCACTCCCTTCTTCCATCAAGCAGATTTTGGACATTGCTTCACTCCAGAGTCTGCTCAGAGGCTTCCAGGCCATGGCAGAATTCCATGGCACCTCCTGGCCTCAGGTGAGAGAGGGCTTCCCTGTAATTTTATCAAAGCCTGACTGCATTCCTCAGGGAGCTGTGGCATGAAGTGGTTGTTCTTTGCCAATGCACAGAGAGGAAGAAGAGCTCTTAAATAAACACTGAACTCTGCCAAAGCTAGCACTTACTGCTGTCCCTTTCTTTCTCAATAATGATTCCTCTCCAACCAGTCCTGGCTTGCTTTGTCCACAGATCCTTGAATTTCCTCTAATAGCTCTCTTCAGAGAGGCTGACCTAGCTCCACATAGATGTTATTCAGCATCAAGTTTGCCATGAGGCCAGAATCAGGTTTTTCCTCTTAGCTTGTGCCTTGAAGGGCTTTGTAATAGCCCTGATTTCCTGTGTTAGACTGGGCTGCAAAAGCTATCCAGAAACAACAGGACAAGGTAACATGAACGTGGCTTTGAGAACTATAGACAAGTGTTGACTTGAAATTTAGGAAGGAGCAGGTCATTTAGGAAAGACCTCACTTGGAAAGCATAAGAAAAACTGTACTCGAGGGCATATAAATCCCCAAACCTGAAAGTTACTAGTAGAGAGCAGGCAATCTGAAAAGTATATGACAATGGTTATCCTTCACACACTTCTCTACAAGATTTTTTTTTTTTTTAAATTAAGTGGTCATTCATTCTCTATGGTCAGACAAGTAATACATCCGTGTCATTACAATGGTTAGGCACAGTTCAGCTGTGAACATTCAGGCTTTAAATGCACTATGAAACCAAGATGTCATGGCATTCCTTGCACTTGTGTTTCCAGGCACAGCTGTACCACACTTTCTCATCTCTGCTAAGGCCCTTAAGCACTTTGTTAATGAGGAAGCTGCCGGCACTGACACACTTGCAGGATCTATAAACACTTACTAAGGTTAGGAATCACCAGAAGAGCTGGGTGCCTGCAGAGCCACAAGACATCATTGCTGCATGCCTAATGCAGATGTTAAAGCTAACAAGTAATTTTCTCTTATGTAGCTGAAACATATTTAAAATGCTTGCAGTTAAGGTGTTTCCAGCTGCACTCCTACTTCCTTCTCCTTCTTTTCCTCCTGAGAGACTGTGGGACTGTTTCTTTCCTTGAATTTAACCTAAAAATTTAAGAGAGCACTGTTTTTCTTCTCTAGACTGAAAGAAAACTTATTGTGTGCTGTCTTCCTCAGTCAGCAAGATCATATTTTTTTAACAGAGCAACATAGCTGCTGTCTCACCAGCTTCATGGAGTATGAAGTCTGTGATGAAAAACAGAACTGTTGCTGGAAATTTGCTATGCTATTAAAACAGTCTTAAATCTCACTGTCTGTCTTGTAACCGCAAGCAAAGGATGGCCCACTCTCTCCATTCATAGCACAAGAGACCACAGATCTCTCTGTAGTGGGCTCAGACACTGCCACTTTCCCTTTATGCTGAGCTCTCCAAGAGGGTGTATCTGGAAGTGCAAGGTGGGAAATGTGTGTAGCTGCACTTACATGTGCTGTGTTCTTGCACATGGCAGGGTAATAGGCAAAACACTGTTGTTCAGCTGCCCTAATCATGCACTGTAAGGTGTCTTGGGAATTTTGAGTTTCTGCACAGAGTCTGCACATCAACTGCCTTCTTGAATACTTTTGTTCTGCAGAAAAAGTCCAAGAAGTGTTGGATGCTGTCATTGGTCCATCCTGTGGAATTGAATATAATGACTGAATGATCCTGCCACGTGCAAATGCAATTCTACAAGAGATTATGTGTCATAGCAGCACTAGTGCCACAGCGTTTATGTGAACCCGGGGTATCACACTGCAAGGCTTCCCTGTCACTGAGGTCTGTTAATGCCACTAAGCTTTGGGGACACACTTCAACAAAGCAAAGCCAAGCATTACATCCCTCTCACTGACTTAAATGCCACATCTTATGTTTACATTTGGTCCCAGGCTGCAAAACTACCTAAAGGTGAGTTTGAACAGCTCATGAGGAACTCTTCACTGTGAACACGATCCTGGATGTTATTTACATCCTATAAAGTACTCAGTTTCCCCCTCTTGTTGCACAGGTGTTACTTTTACCACTTTTCTATACAGTATTACAAGAGTTAGATCAGTGTATAAAAGTACCGGTATAATGACCTTTGGATTCTTTTAAACTGGTACAAGGTAAGTATAAAAACCACAGAAATTTTAGGAAAATACTGTCTATATATGCAATTTATGGTATCAGCAGAATACTTTAAACCCCTATCCAACATCAGGTAGGTGGTCTTCCCAATAGATAAGACCAGTGTGGCTTTGGGGGAATATGTCTTTGGGAAAATCAAGATCCCAGTTAGGGGTCTTGATAAGTGTGAAGCTTTCAGTTCAGTGGGGTTTAGTGGTGAGGGTTTTTTTTAAAGTTTGATTACTGTAATAACTGCATCCTCTGGTGCTCTAAAATAAATCTTGACAAGTGACTAATAATTTCTAAATAAGCTATTCTGTAGGAGATAGCACAGTGTGACCCTGTTTCTCAGCCCATAATAATTAATTGGCACTTGCACTGAAGAATTTCAAGAGAGCCATTCATACCCTGACAATTTAAGTCATTAGTTTTTGATTCTGTGAAAAAGATTTTCATTTTGTATTTTAGTAAGACACTTTAATTTTCCCCAGCATATTTTCTGTCCGGTGTGATCAAGAGCAGTGGGAGAGTCCTTGACAGTTTAACCCTGGTCATTTCCCGGACAAGGATGGAAACTTTGTGAACAGAGAAGCTTTTATGCCGTTTTCTGCAAATAAAAGTGATCCTCAGTATTGCATACAGCTGTCCTGCAGTGACTGTTTCACAGGCCAAAACTTCTGTAATGTCTGATCTCCTGCCATGAGTGTCTTTATTCATTCCCATAATAAGGTCTATGTAGGAAGAAAACAGAGGTGGTGATTTTGGAGACCTGCTGCAGCTTCACTTTCTCGAGGAAAAGCAGCTAAAATGAGCTGGTATCTGAATAAAAGGAAATGCAACTGTGGTGGGAAAGTAGATTGTCTTGGGGGAAAACAAGGGCTGATTAAAGCCCCTTCAGAAGGCAGGGGATGCAAACCTGTTTGCTAATCAAGAACTGGCTCTTGGAAGGATAATACTAATACTGACATCAGCAGAGACTGAGAGGACAGGAAAGGAAACAGCATCAGTGTTAGGTCTCCATAGCAATTTGTGTAACACATTCTTTCTGAAATATTTTGGTAAATTGCTAGTCTTCAGAGCACAAAGATCCCATTTATGTGTAACTGCAACCAACCAGGGAATTCTTTGTGAGTTTTTAATCTATTTCTGCTACTATGTATTTATAAATAATTTTCTATGTCTTCTAAGATTATGAACACAGTTTTGAGCCCATAAAACAACAGGATGGGAGTGCCAGTGGTAAGGATATTTGGCCTAGCACTTAGGAGACCTTTTTCCCCCTGTTCTGCTGTACTTCTGTGATTTCAGTCATATTGCTGAGATATCCATTGCCTTTGCTTTCAAATAGTAAAATAGCATCACATTACTGTGCTTTGCAAGAGCGAATACACTCAGACTCTACAGAACAAAGGACATGTAGGACCTTACATATGTCGAACACACTTTTTTCATACTTCTGAGAGAGTGTTGAGAGATATTAGTTGTTTAGGATAAATAAGTAAAAGTAGAATGAGTTACACAGCATTATAATACTGTGTGATTTATTATGGTTTTTTGTTTTGCTTTACTCGCTGAGCATGAGTAAAGGATTACACAGATGCTGAATTTTCTATGACTCTCTCCACATCAAAACTTGGTGGAGAAACAGAATCAGTCAGAAGTCCATTTACTAACTCTGCCAGATAGGAGAAATCATTGGTCAGATATTTGCAAAGTACTGTGAGAAGATGCTGTGCTCATGAAGTAACCCGGGGATGGATTCATTAAGTGCACGGACACGCTGGAGGAGAGACTATCTCCCTTGTCCTCTATATAAGGTGTCCGCTATCCTTCTCTAACACTCCAAGCGTTGCAGGTTCTTTACAAGGGACAGTGTTTTTCCCACTTTCTGTGCCACCCTCTCGCTGTGCATGAAGGGGATGGGGATGGCGGCCGGGACGGGGGTTGCGTGTCACGACAGGAGGCAGGTCGGGCAAACCCTCTAACTTGTAACTGTGCTTACCAAAGCCAAATGAACTGTACGAATAATTTGTGAACCCACTTTACAAACCACGATGGGACAGCCCATCGCCATCCACGCCGCACCCAATATGGCGGCTCCATTCCCCCCCGCCACACTCAAGATGGCGGCTTCTACCCAACGCCTCGCCCAAGATGGCGGCCCTGACCCTCAAGGGAGGTCCCGGCAGAGCGTTCCCGCCCCGTCCCGCCGTGTGCCGCACTCACGGCTCCGGAGGGAAACGTGGGCTGTGTCCGCGCTGGCGGAAGCGGCGGAAGGCTCTGGCGGGCGGACTCGGCGGGGCGGAAGTCGCTGAGGCGGACGGGGGTGGCGGCGGCAGCGAGCGACGATGAACAACAAATTCGACGCGTGAGTGTCGCCCCCGCGTCCCCCTGGCGGTCCCCGGCGCGGGACCTGCACGGCTCTGCGCCCCGCCGGCGCCTCCCGCCGCTGCCCCGGCACCCCTCGGGCCAGACGCGATGAGTCAGGGCGCCGCACAGCCCCGTCCCCGCAGCCGGGGCCCAGCCCGGCCCGGCCCCGAGGGGGTGCGAGCCCGAGGGCTGGGGTCGTGGGACGGCAGCAGTCCCGCACCGGGGAGCCGCGGGCCGCCTCGTGGCCCCGCTGCGGGCTCGTGTTTGCCGGCGCTTGGCAGGGAATGGGGCGGGCGGAGAGACTCGTGGGTGCCGGGTGTGTGTGCTCGCCTGTGCTGTGCCGAGGGGCGTGGGGAGCGGGGTGGGAGAGTCAGCAGAGTTACAGAGTTTCAGTGACAGCTCTTCGTGCGGTCCCTCCCTAACAAGTTGCCGTGGTTTTCTCTGCCAGGTCAGTATTAGTCAAAATTACTTGAGTTTGTTCTAAAAAGCTGTTTTGTTGCTCTCTTCAGCTAAAAAGTGTGTGCTCAAGATGCCTGTGGTGGGCGCTGGCCATGCCAGGTAGAAGTAGTTTTTACTGTGTGGGCTGTCAAGTGCAGATTCCCAAAGGCTGGGGGCCCTTGTCCCACGGGGGAGTCTTGAAGCAGAAACTGGTATGAACCTTCCCAGCTGCGTGGTGCCAGACTGGCTTTCTTTGTCCTTTCCTTTACCAGATTGAAAGATGATGATAGTGGAGACCATGACCAGAACGAGGAAAATAACACACAGAAAGACAGTGAGAAGGAAAAGAATGATCGGGAGAAGCCACAGAGTACTACCAAGAGGAAGGTATGGTGTTGCCATCTGCAATCAGTCCTCTGCCAGGGCATGATGGGGGAGTGCTAGAGAGTCAGCCCTCAGTTCAGGGATAAGGAAAACGTGTCTTGGAGGGCTGTGGTCTCTTAGAATGCACTGTCACTGCTGTGATGAAGACAGAGGGACTGTGTCACATTTTCACAATTTGATGTAGCATTTGGAGATCTGTAATCTGAGGGGTGAATGCTCCCTTCACAAACACAGCTAGTACTCTTTCAGGCTTTTGAACAGGAATGAGAAATAAACCTTTATTTTGGAAGGGGGTGTAGGGGGGAGGACTGATTGACTGGGCAGTGGAGGCTTGCAGTTGGTTTACCAGGCAGTGATGAAATAATTCATGAGATGTGTCTGTGTGTGTAGTATAGCATCGTCAAGAAGGCATAGGGCATGTATCTGTTCTGGTTTGGGGGTTTTTAATCTTGTGTTTAGGAACCCTGCTCTGTCTAAATTAATGCAATCCTTGTAAACGTGCCATAGACGAGAGGAAGGATTTAAGCCTTGGCAACCTGTAACAGTATCAACTGATACAAGATAAGGACTTTGGTTGGGTTTTCTCTGTAAGTTTTGACTCTTGGGTAATGAGCTCTCATTAGCATCTTTTATGCTCATTAGAAGTGTTTTAAATCATTAATCAGTGTTTTGGAAATTGAAAAGCGATCGCTGCCCACTGCTGGTGATGGGTTCTGCCAAAGCTGACATAACGAGTTCTAGGACTAATTCTCCCAGAGCACTGGGGTGTTGGTTCCTTAAGGCAGTTGGTGTCACCAAAGACTTATAATTGCTTTTGAATCATGGGTTAGTGTAAGTGGGGTTTGTCCTTCCCAGAGGGGAAGTGTGTCTTTTTTATTTTTTCTCAATTTGAAAAAGCTCTTGCATTGCCCTTTTTTGTTTGTCTTTAACTACCTTTGAGACAGGCACAGTTAAGGGCTAAAGGAAAACTCAGTAGTGCTGCCTCTAATAGTTATAACAATGGCTTTTGTTGTGATGATCTGCTTGGTTAAGTTATTCTTTCCTTGTTCTTCCCTGCACTGCAAATTTCCAATATTTCTGAACCAGCCTAATCGTTGGGCTGTTTTGGGCAATTAAGAGAGACAGAACTTTTCTGTAAGAACGAGGGTCACTTTGTTTATAGAACAGGAATACGTGGACTTCTGATGCTGTGGATGCAATTTTTCCCATTCCCCTTTTAGAGGAGCGCATCAGGGGTAAGCCCAGGTCTTCCTGTCTTGCAGGCTGTTGTCCCCGGGCCAGCTGAGCATCCCTTGCAGTACAACTACACCTTCTGGTACTCCAGACGCACGCCCGGGCGGCCCACGAGCTCCCAGAGCTACGAGCAGAACATCAAACAGATCGGCACCTTTGCCTCGGTGAGTACGCCCTGCTGCCATGGCTGGCTCGGTCCCTGTGTGCACACACGGGCTGTGCTCTTGCCGTCAGGAGCAGGGGGGAGTGGTGTGCCAGGACTTACAGATGAGTTCTTGAATTGCCTGCAGCAGGTGATGTGTCTTGAGCAGTTCTGCTCCGTGCTAGACCTCTGTGTCTGCAGGTAATGGTGGCAGCTGGAATAATAATAGCAAAAAAAAAGGAGAGCTCCCACATAGCTCAGATGTGCTGGCTGGAGCAGGACTGGACAGGCCAGCAAGAGAAAAAAGGAACACCATTTTTGGGTGTATGTGTGAAGGGAAGACTGCACATTCCCACACATGCTTCCTGTATTCCCACCACAAAGACTGTGTTTGGATCAGGCATCGGCCTGCTGTATTTGCAAGCACCTGGAGGCGTGTTGTCTGTCTGGAAGTGATGGACAGGGTGCAGTTTGGTTTTGCAGTGAAGTTCATTAAAAGGGAAACTGCTCTCCCTTTCCTCTTACATTCTTTGTGGTTGTTTATTCCTGGAATGAATTTGAATGTGTCCTTGAAAGGCAGTGTTGGCTTGTTGTGTGGTACTGGGAATGCAAAACAGTCATGAAGAGCCCAAGATATATAAGCAAAATATGTCTCCATTAAAATACCATTCTCAAAGCCAGGAAGTCTGGTAGCTGTCCAGTTTTTAAATCTGGTAGTTGTCCAGTTTTTTCAGGGTCTCTTGTTAATTTCTGCCCCCAGTACATGTCTTCTGTAATTTGAGAATTTGTAAAAATACCCCTTTATTCCTTCTGGAGGCTGCATGAAAGTCTGCCCATCAGAGCAGCTGGGTTGTGTTGTTGCATCTACAGGGGATGAGAGTGAGAAGAAGAGCCTGTTGTTGTGGATAGTTACTGCTTCTATTACCCTGTGTGAGCAAGTGCTTTCAGTTCAGTGAATGAAAAATGTGGCCACTGCTTGATGATCTGGTAATAACTTATCAGTCTGTTAAATCAGTATAGACTTAACACTGATTTTTAGCTCCTTAGAGGAAAAATGTCATGTATTCTTTTGTTTGCTCTTTGCTGCAAAGAATTTGTGGGTGCTGTTGTATGCTGGAAGTGCTGCAGTTCTGTCAGGAAGGAGAGAGACTGGCCAGCAGATCTGATAATGTGTTTGGTTCCAAATTCTGTTTAAGGAGAAGGAAGTGCAAGCTTCAGAAGGAATTACCTGAGCTAAGTCTGGGTTCAGATTTATTCTTGGCTTCTTTAGAAAGCTCTAAAAGCTGTGAAATGTGAACCACTAGAGGGCATGTTCCCCCACTCTGGAGTGCAATTTCGACACGGCATTTGGATGTGTCTGGCAAAAACAGATTGCTTCTGACCCTTCCTCAGCCTTGGTTCATAATTTTATTGGCTATAAAAGGGAGGGCAAAGGTCACAGATTGGAGCGGAATTCCAACTGCTGACCGAGTCATTAAGGTCTCTGAAAAAGCACTTGGGGTGGTGTCTGACCTCTCCAGCTGCAGTGCTGATCTGCTTAATAGCTATTGTCTTTAATGAGTAGAGTCCTCTTAAGCTATGGAAATTAGTATAATGTTTTCCATTGCCTTGTGTTGTTTAAAAGATCTATCTCTCTATAATCCTTTCTTACCCAGAGATTCTCGAAGGATAAATATGTTATTTTTAAGAACTGTAAAAGATAACTCCCTTTCCTTGCAGACAGATTGTCTGACCCGGGGGTGCCAGAATGGAACTGGTCAAAGTGAAGTGGTCCAAGTATACAGATCTTAAACTACTACCAGAGCATGATTTTTGTCTTAAAATCTAGATACAGTAAAATTAAATTTAAAAAATGTCTCATTTGGATGCTCCTGCAGTCTCCATGGTCACAGAGAGCAGTGGTTATGCAGGGTAGAGAGGCTTGGCTGTAGCTGATGCATTTGACACATATCCAGTCATTGGAAGTTTGGGCAGTAGGGTTTACAAGATATGTTTGAAACTGTTCTCCAGAGCAGCTGTTATCTTAGCACGGATTTCTTCAGGCAAACACTGAGTGACTTTGGAGGCACTTGTTGAATATTTCAAGTGGTGATCTGGGAATAGAGCCAGTGAGAAACAAGCACCTAAGCTCTGATCCTACTGCTGCCTTCTGTGTTTCCTAATCAACACCCTTGTGACAGGAGAGTAGAACAGAAGAAGGGAAGGTGACTCTGGCCAGCTGATGTAGAAATGGAAGCCTATTTCTGTCGGAATCTGGACTGTGAACAGTTTGAGCAGCCTCACTGTGTGGTTCCTGTTGTTGCAGGTGGAGCAGTTTTGGCGGTTTTACAGTCACATGGTACGTCCTGGGGACCTGACAGGCCATAGTGACTTCCATCTTTTCAAAGAGGGCATCAAACCCATGTGGGAGGTGAGTTGGAGCTCTCATTTCTGCCTGGATATTTTCCCAGAGTATTTTGGAGGGAACCCTCTGCAGTAAAGGGACTCTTGTCGTTAAATGGCACTCCATTGGCTGCTTTTGGGTGCAGTCCTTTCTTCAGGGTTTCCTGTTAACTTGTCCTGAGAGGTCTGTCCCATGGCAGTCCTGGGACGTGCTGCCAGAGAGGGAACGTGTGAGATTTGGTGGTTGCACCCCCACAAAGGCTTCTGAACTTCCTTTGCCTGGGGGTCCAGAGGGTCTCTGGGCAGTGTTGCCTGGACCCCAGCTAAGCTCTGTGCCTTCCAATACAGACACTTGTCCCTTAGTGCTTCCAGTGACACCAGTGCAGGGCTTTCCTCTAGATCTGGACCTCTGTAAGTGCAATTCAACAATGCATATAAAAACCAACCCTCCTTTTTCAGTCAAGGAAGACAGAGGTGCATGTGGTTAAAAGCCCACAGCTGCACATAGAGCTGGAAATGGAAAAACAACTTAGCCCTTTGTTTGCCTTTTTTTTTTTTTTTCCCCCAGGGCACTGAGTTTGCTTCTATTTCTGTTAAAAAATTTAAAAAAATCTTGGCCCAGCAAATCATTCTTCCATTTCCTGGCCTGCTCCCAGCAGTGACCAATAGCATTCACAATATGAGGATTTTATGTGTTGCTCTGAAGTACCTAATTATACTGCTTGGTCCTGAGAAATTTATATGTGACCCTTGTTGGCAATTATTTTAAGCAAGGTGTTTTATAGCCAGTTACTGCAAATACAATTTATATAAAATGTTTAACCCTCTTTGGACTCCTGGTGATTCAGCTGCTCCGATAATGTGTCAACCAGAGAGTGCACAAGTTAATGATACCAGAATTTCTATAAACTATTTCCCTGTAGCCATTTTAACATGAAAGTGGAGAGATTCTTTGTGTTTTTTTACTGTGGCCCCACTCACTTCTAGTTCTAGAAAAGGACCTGGGCTCTTACTGCTGGCCTTCCCTTTGCTGTATGGTTTGTAGGGTTTTGTTTATGCTTTTTTCCCTTCCAAACCAATCCTCAGTTGCTCTCATTCTTGTAGGCACATATGTGTCTGTATGTAGCTGATCTCTTTTTCTGCATCCATCTGAGCCATTTCTGGTAAAGTCAGAAGCACTAAGCATAATGTTCCCTGGTGATTTACTGGGCTGCAGATCATTGTTATTCAAATGCTTGACTGAACTGAAGCTTGTTTAACCTGAAGGAAAACTAACAGTAACCATAAAGCACATGATACAGCATCTGCCTCCCAATCACTGCTCTCTTTGTAGCCTTGAACCTGCTTAAGCCACCTTTGAGATATTTCAAGCAACGTCGGTGTCTCTTCTGATGCCCAGTAGTCATTGTGGAAAGCTTGAAGAGTTAAACCCAGCTTAAAGGCCAAAGTGTGATGTTCATCACTTGGAAAACAAGGACATTTAACAGAAAGTAGTTTGCATCTCACGGGAGTATGCCACATTCCCAGAACATGTGTTGTTTTGGATGGCTGCTGTTGCACTTTGAGGTTTGTCTGGAGCTGACACCTTCCCCTTTCAGTGCAGGCTTTAGCACATACATGAAAACTAGGAGTCAGGTGAATGCTGCCGTTATTCGGCCCATCCATGTTTCCTCAGGATTGCTTTGTTAGCACTTGCTGTCTCTGAGAGAGCACACAAATGTTTAGTTTTATCTGAGCCCTAGAGAAGCTTTAAGGCTAAAATAAAGTTAATTTTATTTCATTAAGAAGGGTTGGGCTGCCTTGCCTGGCATCTTTGAGATGTGTCCCAACTTGGCAGAAGGGATTGCTAGTGATTTGACCAGGGATGTCCTGTTTTCTGAAGTCTTCCCTGAGTCATCCTTTGTTCTTCTCTGTTTCTGTTCTATACCTGTCTTCCCTTCCCCTTCCTAACTGCCACCTCTTTGACTCTCTGTCTTCAGCTTTGGATGGAACTTGTTCCCCCTTCATCTTGTAAGATTTCTCAGCTACGGTGTTTTACAAGACAATGCCACAGTGTCCTGCTGTTCTTTGACACGGCTCTATGTTCTGGGAAGCAGGGGAGGCTGTAGCAGTTTCCAGCTGTTTATCAGGTGCAAAATACAGAATGACAATATTTAGGTGATATACTGAGTGCTTAGCATAAATTTTTTCTTTTACTCTCTCCCCTCATTTTTGGTTATTTCCCTGACTCACCACAGCCTGCAACAAACATTCAGGTGTATGATGTGTGATACTGCCAGTGGTTCCCAGAGAACAGACTGGTTCTTTCTTGTAAGCCCTAGAAATGTGGAAGGAAAACGTTTATCTCCTTTTTACTTGCTTTTAAATATCACTTTGCAAACTCTTTCCTGGCCTTCCATATTCTATGATGAGGGATTTTTCCTGTTTTACAAGCAGAACTACACATAGAGGGAATTAGACAAATGGGGAATCAGGTTTAGGAATAGTTTTAAGGTCTTTTCCTCCAGGTCTGTGTGTAGGTTGGTAGGTTGGTGTTAGTCTTTGCTAGTGAGATCAAAACACTAGAGCTCAAGTCTTCAGAGTATAGAGCTTTATCTGGAATGCTGAGAGCCACTGTTTCAAATAATTTGTATTCAAAGTAAGTCTTTCACCTCTGTCTCTGCTTCTATGGGGGGAGAAGTGAAATGCTTTTGCTTGAAAATACCTCCATTCTGTCCCTTGCCCCACCCAATCAATAACTGCTCCTATTTGTGGCTCTGCTGTCTTATGGGTAGCAGAAAAACAGCTCCAAGAAAACAAATCAATTTCTTGCCCCTCTTCCTAGGATGATGCCAACAAAAACGGTGGTAAATGGATTATCCGTCTGCGGAAGGGCTTAGCGTCACGATGCTGGGAGAATCTCATTCTGGCCATGCTGGGAGAACAGTTTATGGTGGGGGAAGAAATCTGCGGGGCGGTCGTCTCTGTCCGATTCCAGGTAGGTGCTTTTGAGAGCTGGCACGTGCTTCCGTTTGGCAGGGCTGCAGAAAGTGCATCCGCCCGCTCACCCCTCACGTGCTGTTCCGCAGGAGGACATCATCTCGATATGGAACAAGACAGCCAGCGACCAGGCCACGACAGCGCGGATACGCGACACGTTACGAAGAGTGCTCAACCTACCTCCCAACACCATCATGGAATACAAAACCCACACCGATAGCATCAAGTACGTGTGGGGCCAGGGGGGGTGTTGCAGGTTGCATGTGTTGCTTGAGCACGTCAGTGCAGGCTGTGGGGACTGAAAGAAGTGCTCGTGTGCGTTAGGGCCGTTCCCTGCAAACAGCAGCAGTTGTTGCCAGCGCGCTTTGAAAGCCAAATACCTGTGTTGTTATGGTGCTGTTGTTAGGGACATCTGGGTCTAACAGGAAAACCTTATTTTTTTTTTAAATGTGTAGTCCAGGGGTATTTCAGCGATCCACCCAGCCTGTCACCTGGGCCCAGGGTGGGACTGTGGCCTGATATACTCAAAGACAAGATTGCAGTGGGGGGGGACAAGATCATTTGAATAAATGGAGATTCTGGGGAATAAAGTGCGGAAGCTAACGGGGATTTATAGTGCCATTAGACTTATAAATGCTCTTGGGAAAGTGCTGTGTGAATTTACAGTGCTGTACAAATGATTTCTAATCATAATAAACGTCGTATATTAAGTCTTCCAGGCTCTGGTGACAGAGGCTCTTTAACAAGACTAGAAGATCACGGTACACAGAGAGGACAGCTGTATTTTTAAATAAATATGTTATACCTTACCATACCAGGCCATTCAGGGTGACTTTTATTTCCCACAAGGTGACGAAAAATTGCATATATAGGTAGTAGTTAGAGGTGAGTTATTTTTTTTTCTTTTTTTTTTCTTTTAAGTTTTATAAACTGATACACTGATTAGGTCATACTGGTTAAATTAACGCTTGAGAATGTGCACCTGGAAGAAGTGAAACAAATTAATAAGACACTGATAGGGCAATGAGCTTTCTAATCTAGCCTGTAATCAGGGTGCCAAGTACTTTCCATGACTTCCTTTCATTATGCTGGCTTGTCGTTTTCACGTAATCACCCTGTCATCAGTGTGCTGTCAGACAGTTTGGTGACATCAGTCTTGGTTTTAGTAGACAGCTGGGTTCTGGTTGTGGCCAGTTTTGAGTATGGGTCATTAGTAATTATGCAGAGATCTTGTTGAAACAGCCTGTAGGCATCTAGTGTTCCATGTTGCCCTCCCTCAGGAGTGCATGGGAAAGAGAAAGGAAGGAGAAGATTTTTTTCCATGACTTTGTCAGTAACATTTCTCATGCAGTTTCTGCCAGGAGAGGGCACTATGGACTCTCTGTGTTGGGAAATATCAAAGTGCTCTCCTGGACCCACAGCGGAGTATTTTACTCTTGTTCAGCAGCAGCAGACTGCAGACTGGTGATGCGGCTTTGTGGTGAGAAGAAGGAGGTGTTTGACTTCTCTCAGTCTCTGTAGGGAAAGCTGTGTATGGAGCCAGCTGTCCTAAGTTGTGGTGGGGGTTCATGTAGCAAGCATAGAATGGGAATGTTGTGGCCTTCCCAATTACGCTATTGCCACCAGCACTTCCTAGCACAGAAAATGCATCTGTAGCAATGTTTGTAACTGTTCCTGCTCTGGCAGGTGTCAGGCCTTGAGTGATGGTGCATCCAGTAGCGTGGCCTTATTTCTCTACACCAGTGTAACATGTTGTGCTTCCTGCCCTCTCTTCCTGCATAGCATCCAAGTTTCGTTTTGTGTTGCTGACGTACGGTGCGAAATGAGCTTGTGTGAGAATAACAGGTGTTTGGGGTATCAAGTTTAGTAGTTCAGATTACAGCTGGGAGCAGTTCTTAAACAGAGGCTGACTGGCTTGTCTCCCACTCATTCTCCTGTGCGTAGGAAGGTTAGACAGAAGCTGGTTTGATGGTGTCCTAGTCAGGTAGATTTAAGCAATTAACCTTTTACCATGTACGGCATCAAGAAAGCCCCTTTTTTCCCATTGTCTCGCTTGAGCTGCAGCAGTCTGATTGCAGTGCTGTCCAACATCCCCTTCAAATGGCACTGGTGTAAATTCAGAGCAGAACTGCTGTCAGTGGAGTTTCTGTGTAGTAATGCACAGACTGACCTCTTGTGCCTCCCTTGCCTGGTACCAGCAGGCAGCAAAGGGGCAGCAGCTGCAGAGAGGTGACGGTGGCTGCTTTGTGACAGAGGAGAGCAGGGCAGCCCCAGCTTTCAGTCTGACTCTGCTTAGCTTTGCTTCATATCATTAAGGTTCTCTCACTAATGAAGAATCTCTTGTGTAACTAGTTCTATCCTCCATGAAGTCTGGCTCCTTTTCCTCACCCATCTATCAAGCCCTGTTGAAATACTGTCCGTCATGAATAAACTCCACTTATGCTGCACATGTACCATGTGATTTATGACTCGGGAGGGCTTTCTAGCCAGCACTCTATATTCACACTCTGGCTGTGTTTCATGAAAAGCTCTAATGGAAGAGCTGTGCTGTAGGCTTTGTCAGGGCTGCCTTTTGAGGGGGGGCTTGTGGCATTTTTCATTTGTATGGGCTGCATCTCTCCACTAGAGCTCTGCTCATGTGCGGGGTTTGATTGGCATTGATTGTGCTTCAGGGAAGGGAGCACGCTTAGCAAGAAAAGAACAGGCGTTTCTCAAAACCTTGACTTTTAGGTTGTGAATTGACCTGGATTAGCTTTTGACACACTGTAGATGAACACTTCTGTAGAAATTACTAGCATGCCCCTCACTGTGGAACCTGAGCCCCGTGTTTCAGGTTTTATGTATTCCTTTTGTGATGATGCATTTCATATTAAATCATTTTTAGACACCATTTTTCATGAATTGTCAGTGAGGCTGCAGCCCCTTTTGTTTCAGAAAGCAGCAGTGCTGCCAAGCAGCATCTGAAAAGTACCTGTTGCATCCCAGCTATTCCAAGGAGCTGTTCTGCATTCTCTCCTTCCTGCTTTCACTGGTGGTGCTTGTGCATTTAGCTAGATAAGCAGATCTTTCATTGCAATTTTCTTGTGTTTGTCCTTTATCTTGCTTGTGATATTGACAAGGTGCCTAAATCCCAGCGAGTGGAAGGGTCAGCTTAGTCTGTATGAATTTCCAATCTTGCTAGGAGAGCTAGAACAATCTCTTGGACTCTGTTTAATTCCAAGGGATTTATAGTACCTTAGACGTTACAGTGCTAAGCACCTGAAGAGTACATATGTGGTGTTTTGTGGGCTACCTTGTTTCATAAACATATTGTTTCAGTAGCTGGAGAGAAATCACTTCTCTTTGTTCCCTCCGAGGTGGACTGAGAGAGGTGCACTCGGATGCAGTGAACCACTTAATGGGTTCTGTTCATCAGCATTGTTAACCTTGAAGGCGACATGGTCCAGAAGTGACAGTGGGTAATGGACAGTGGTACTTCCTGTGGTTTGGAATTAAAGAAAAAAAAAAAAACAACCTCTTTTGCTGCCATAGGAGGTACACTGTGCTTTTTTGAAAGGAGGATATTTGCAGACACAGCCTGGCCATGTCTCAGTGAAGCCACTGAAAACAGTCAGGTATCTGTAGTCAGTGAACTGTAGTTGGGAGAGGGGTGGACGGGAAGTGAACACTGTAATATTTGACTTTTGAGCACTGCAGCATGAAGTTCTTGCCTGTCTGGCATACACCTTTGCCCAGCCTGGGGTAATCAGCCTTTCTTTTCCACACTGATAACTGTGTGGTCAGTGAGCATCTCCTGTGGTGAGAGCTCTCGCCCACAGTACCATCCAGGAATCCCAGGCAAATTCAGCAGCCTTGCTTCCTGTGCCAGGAGGGAGCAGAGCAGTGGCCATCAGCAGGCTGCCACTGAGAGGGCTGGTCTGGAAATGTGTTGGTTGCTGTGTGACGTTATGGATCGTCCTGTCAGCTCTAAAGCAAGGCTGCTTTTTCTGAAAACAAAGCTTCAGTTATTCGCAAGTGCCTGCTGCAGTGAGAGCTGAGCAGGGTATAAAACTATCCTTTCCTTTCAGAGTCACCACTGATAACTAATGGGATGGCTCGAGTAAATGAGAAGAATAGTTGATCTTAATAGAGCTGGCACTGGGTTCATTTCACTGCAGGCAGCTGGAGGAAATGGCCTCAGACTATTTTAGCTAATAAACAAGCAGATACCCTATGAAGGTAGTAAGGGTATGGTCTGTAAGAAGACCACAAGGTTGAGGTTCTCAGGACAAAAAAAGTGACAAATGACAAAAAAGGTGACAAAGAAGAAAGAGAAATCCCCGTGGAAGTGGCAGGTGTTCGACAAGAAGATCAGTGTTTGTGAGACAGTCAGCTGGTGGTAGAGTTCTTGTGAGGTCTCCCTTGTCCCAGCAGAGTACAGCTAATTCTATAACTATTATGGTTTATAGCACTGGTTTCTATTTGCTTGCCAGTTTCCAAAACCTTGGGGGAACTCCTGAATATTGCTGGCCTACTTGTGTCTTAGCCTGTGTCAACCTGTGCCTTTGACTGTGTCTTAAATGATGTGTTCAGGGTTAGTCTTGTCTAAAGTTAGGTGGTTGGCCAGTGGGACCCTTACACACTGTCTGATGCCTGTCAGGGAAAGGCAGGTTGCCTTGGGTCATGACAGTCTGGAGAGCTGCATCACTCCCTTGTTCCTTCAAGTCTGAGAGCAGGAATAAAATCTAGAGGAGAGCAATGAGGTTCCAGATCTGATAGCTGTCCTCTTCTCCTGAGTCTCTACAGTTCTGGCTTAATTCATTTATCACTCCATTCTCCAATTCCAGTAATGTTTCCAGGTACTGCAAGTCTAAGAGCACTTCCGTAGACCTGGGCTTTGAATTGATGGATTCATTGATTTGTTCTCCATCACCCATAGCATGCTTTATTTATAGGTGTCCATGACTTTGAGAAAGGCTTTCTTATCTTGGGGGCCTGTCTCTTACCAAAGAAGTGACAGTTCAGTTTTGTTCATTTGAGAGTCATGATGGCTTCTCTATTTGCCTTTGCTACAGGTACTGCCAGATAGGTTGAAAGAATTATATCAGGCTAGGAGATTATCCTAGATTATTTTTTTTTAAAGCTGTTAGTCACAAAGTTTTTGTCTGGCTGCGAAGAAATCCCAAGGGGAGCACCCAGGGAAGAGGCTGTGCTGCCCTGGAAACCTGCGGAGCGTAGTGAGTGGTCAGTGTGCTGGGAAGTTGCATGTGGGCTGCCAGAAGGGCCAGACCTTGGTGCCTGTTGTGAGGTGCATAAGTGCACTATGAACTCTTTGAATCCTTTCTGAGCTGGGGAAAGAGATGGTAAGGGGCAGGGCTGCACAGGGAAATACTGAAGGGAAACTGCTATGACGTACAGATTGAGGGTAGTTGGAGAAAACAGCTAGTGCTGCTTGCATAATAGTGATTTGGAAAGTCCCTTGAAGTGGCTCTGACTGTTCTGTTCTTCCTCTTTTTGCTGGGGTCTTCCTTTTTTTTTTTTTTTTTTTTTTTGGGGTTTTTTTTTTTTTTTTTTTTTTTTTTTTTGGTGGTTTGGTTTTTGAGGAGATAGCAGCTCTTTTTTGCCTTTTTTTTTTTTTTTTCCCCTCCAACTTACTTGCTGAAGATAAAGGGAGCCTTGCCTGGGTCCTGACCCTTGGCGGTGGGGAAGACGGTGAGAAGTTTCAGCAGTTGTGGGTCAGGAATGAGTGTGGAAGAACAACACTGGCTGGCTTTATTTAGCCTGCTAATGTTTCCGTTTCCCATCTGTTCAATGGGAATAATCTAAGTGTTGGGGATAATTCACTGAGTATCTGTGCGCTGCGCAGACAGTATGGCAATAAGGTACTAAAAATGTCTATACATAAAAATAACCTCTTAGTTTCTCTGGCGCTGTGCCTTTGGCATGTCACAGGTCGTAAAGATTCTGCCAGACGGAATGAACTGGCAGAACAGCCTTGCTCGGTGCGGGATGGAGAGCAGTTCTCTCTCTAGCATAGCTTCGGTACATCAGGGCGGACACATCTTGGTGGATTTTTTCAGTCAAGTCAGCAGATAGTCATTAGTACTATAATGTGTATGAGGGTCTTGGCTTAAAAATTCTTGACTGGAAGAGCTTTTTCTCTGTGTCTGTGAGGACTTGGCAGATGAAGGGCTGTGTGCATGATGTTATTGGGTTGTTGGAACAGGGAACTCCTCAGTTTGAAAGGGGTAATAAATTATCGATTATGCTGACAGATAATCTGCCCTTGTGTCCGTCCTGCTGAGAACAGAAGTTACAGGTTTGGGAAGGACTGTGGGACAGGAAAAAGAGAAGATGTGATTGTGGATGATGGGAATGTGGTAGAAATACAAAGCCTGGGAGATTGGAGGGAAGACGTGAAAGTGGAGACTTTTTGACAAGGCTGGAGATGTGCAAAGCTTTCCAGCTAAGAGAGCTTCACATCCAGAATTTCTCTTCTCCCTAACTTTCTTCTGGAGAGAGATGGTTGTACCCACAGTGTCTCTGTGTTTATTTGGGCTATGAGTTTGCTGGGAAAGAGCATAAGACACTGAGCTGCTTTTGCAAATACTGATTTGGAGCTTGATTCTGAGGCTCAGAGAAGAGCCGGTAGTCTGGTGGTCTGGTTTTGGCACAGATGCTGACTAACCCAGGGTTTCCATTTCTGGAATCTCCTGTTGTGTTGCAGTGGCCTGATGCACAAAACAAAATGTGAGGTAAGTAACAGCAACAAAATCTGCAGAGCCGAGTTTATGGTTAACCTAGGTTTCCTTGAAGGTCCCTCCAGCTTCACTGGACTCTGTGGATTCAGAAAATGCCTTGGCGTGTGCTGTAGGCACCAGTACTGTTTTGCTGGGCATGGAGAACTATGAGGTTCTTTGATGTGTCTGATCCTGGAAGATAATAGTCATGCTCACATTAACCTCAGCATCTTTCCCTGAGAGGGCTTTCAGTATGCTGCCTTCGTAAAACCGACAGCAATTTCTCAGTCTACTAACTTCATCCATCAGTAATGTTCTCCACCAGGGAATGCAGCGTTAGGCCTGTCCCTCCAACTTTATCTGAAAACGTTTTCATTTCAGGTGGCTGTGATGTTTTTACTGGGTTGTCATTAACAATGCAGGTTTACAATGGGAAATGAGACTTTCTAATAACAATTGAATTCTGTTGTCTGATTGAAGAATTTAGTGATAACTAAGCCGTGTGGCATTAAAAGAAGCCCCTTTTGGGGGGATTACCTGCATATGCAGTATGTGGTGAAGCACGAGGCCAGTAACTGGCTGAGTTTAACCAGCCAAGGAATGTGATAATCCTCCAGGAAGATGTAACGTCGGCTATTTTATTAGCAATAGGAAATTGATATTCCATTTGTGACTAGGAAGGTCATACCTGTCTCTGGGTATTAATGTGGCTTTATCACCAGCAGCCAGTGGGAACGCTTCATGTCTGTGCAGAACGCTAAAGCTGCCTCGCGCTGTCAGATGTTTGGCTGGGTTTTAAGGATGCTTCTATCCACTAGGGCTATCAGAGAATATTGCCTTGCTCTCTGAAGACGAGTGCCTTTCAAATGCCATTGAATGTTTCTGCTCTCCTTAAAAGTTAAGAAGCCTTTGATCTGAAGTGCTATTTTTTGTTTTTTGTTTCATTTTTTTTCCCTCTGGCTTGCCAGGGCCTGGGAGGAGTTTCATGGCCTGGTGAACAGCAGTGGCCGCTGATCGAACGCTCCCCCTCCCTCTGTCACACCCAGGGTAGGGCCTCATCTTTTTTCCTATGTGACTTCATGGCATACCTCTCAGCTTCCAACCTGCTTCCCGTGGGCTTGCGTGTTCTCTTGCCTTATGGGCCTGATGGTGGGCCCATTCTGCTATTTGTTCTTTCTCAAAGGTCAAAATGATTTTTTAAATTTATTTTTTTTTGACCAGACATCAGCATTTTCTGTTGTGCTATTTTGCTGATGTGTCCTTCCTCTGTGTGAGGCATTTGCATCCCAGACCTGGTCCCGGGAGGCTGAGAGGTATGTCTTCAGCTTGGGTGTGTTGCCTAGGGTTGATTGTAAGCAGGTGTGGAGTGGTAAATGAATCCTAAGCACATCCAGGTGATGGACACAGAGAGACAGCTAGAGCTTGACATACTGCCTTTGCTCTTAACAGTAGGCTGGAGCAGAATAAATTGGCTGGTCAATAAAAGCTTGTTTAGAAAGGACACAGAGTAGCTATTATATGTAGAAATAAGGTTGTGGCTAATGAGAAGACCACCAGCTACTGCTGGTAGCGGCAGCCAAGATGTGCAGAGAAAATAGCCCAGGTGAGCTCAGGGTGGTTGGGAGCCTTGCAGCTCAGATTATTTTTCCCCTCCAGTGCCCACCTCCCTAATGGCAGGCCCTTTCCTTAAAAAGGGACAGCAAGAGGACTGGCCATGAGAGTTGCATTTGGTAGTAGCCAAGTAGGATCATTGCACTGCTGAGTGCCAGAGCAGAGGAATCCGCTGGAAGGAAGCATTTACATTCCTGGGCAGTGGTACGTAGCTGCTCCAACACAGCTGAGCTCTGAGGAGCCGCTTGGGATCCCAAAACCTCCCCCAACAGTGTTGGGCAAGCAGTGTTCCCATAGCTTGCTCCGAAGTCATGGGTGAAAATAATCTCTCTCTTCCCAGGTTTGGCTTTTTGTGAGGATCAGTGGTTACAAAATGTTATACAGGCCCTTAGTAGTGTTGCTATTCTTAGATGACATTCAGGTGACCTTCCAGAGGAGGAAACCAGCTCACTTGATGAAACACCAGCCCCTGAAGGCAGTGAATGTGCCGAGGATGTAGGAAAGCAGTGGTAAAGTTGATTTAGCTCTCAGCTGTATGGGGTAGCCTGTGCTGAGCAAGGATGAGCAGAGGGACTGGAGCACCCCAGTTAAGGCAAAAGAAGAGGAAATGTCCAAGAAAGAGCTGACCAAAGTGTGCTGTCACGGGTGAAAGTCCAGTATGGGATTGAAAGCCAAACCACTGTTGCAAATTAACTGGAATCCAGTTAATGAATCCTGAATCACGTTCCCAAGTGGCAGCACAGCCTACTTTGCTGGCAAGTGCAAAGGTGAACCCTAGTCTTCTGCAGATGACCTTAAGCATGGTTTTTGCTGTCATGTCATGGCAAAGTAACTTTTTTAACTCTACGAAGTGCTTTTCACTTCCTTCTGCACTTCCAGCTCCCCAGCCCAACTCCTGGAGGCGTTCCAGTCTGCAGTGTGCTGTGCTGGTACAGCTGCCGTGCAGCTCCCAGCAGCGCACACTGCTAGCTCAAGGGTTTAAGGGATTGCACAGTCCTGCAGAGCACCTTGCTACTGAAGCTGCTGCCTTTGCTCTTCAACCCAGCTCTGCCCGTTTGGTCTGGTTTGTGCTGGGACATCCCAGGGGTGTTTGGTTTGGGCAACTTGCTGCCCTGTCCCTGTTTATGGGAATAGCTGCCAAACCTATCGTCTCAAAGTAATTGTAATCTCCTTTGTTTCCAACACACCACCGCTCTGTTAATGTGTAAATAGGCTTTGCCTGCTGCTGCTGCTCCGAGGCTGGCAGTGAGCATTCACACAGGTTTGTGTAACCCCACCTTCCACTGCTGCCCCATGCTGCAGGTCTGTACGGAGGAAGGCTGTAGACCAGCAGTCCTTTCTTTGTCAGTAGCCCCTGTGACTCATGGCTGTACTCATGTGAGTAGAAGCTGCTGAAGAAACTCTTTTATTTAAACTTGAGAGAAACGCCCTTGTCAGATTAGATATTCTTTTAAGGTAGTAGAGACCAGGGAACTAAATTCGTTGACAGTATGATAAAATACAAGGGACAGAGGCAGGAAGAGGTCGGTCTGATGGTATTTTGTGCTCCAAGCAGAATCCCTGAAATCAGATGTTTGGTAAGGAAGAGACTTTGCAAGTTGTTTAAACAACAGAATCCATCAGGGAGGTTGCCAGATTCTATTATATGCTTTGCTCACAGGAGATGACACTTCTTTCTTGTCATTGAGTGGGGATGAACCAGGATCTCCTGCTGTTCCAAGTCTTCTGGAGTGACAGGTTGACTTGTGTGAAAAGTCTGTAGTTAGGAAGCAGATCTGCACAGGAGGTTTAACAAGCATTTGAGTGACAAACTGGGATGGCAACACTGGTAGCTGTGGTGGGTGGAATGGGGAGGTGCTGTGATCTGAAGGAATGCACATCTCTAACCTCTTTCTTCCCTCTGTTTTCCAGGGATAATTCAAGCTTTCGAAACACAAAAATCACATTGTGAGAACAAGAGTTGGCACTAAGCTCCTCTCTCCATGTTGAAAGCACTGAGGGGTCTCTACCGGTGCCCTCGACCTCTGAAGGGACTCATGGGCCACTCTCGCGCTCCTCCCTGGAGGAAGGATCCATCTGCAGCCCTCCAGCAGCGGTGACAATAGAGGCCGATTTTGTCTTACACAAACTTTTTTTAGCAGTGGGGCGGGAGGCCAGCCTTTCAATTAGCAGCGTGCCCTTGGGGCCGCATCTTGCAGCACTTTCCTCTCTTTCTCTACATGGCATGCAGGATCTCTGGGATTCTGCCTCAACATCAGAGCCTTTTGCTGAGGGATACCAGTATTATAAATCTCTCTGCAGCTGGGCAGAGCATCCCAGTTGAGAGTCAGCCCTGTGGTTTTCAAATGCCCCTTTTCAGTTCTGCCAATAAATTATTGGGTCTCTTTGTTTCTTTCAGTCTCTTTTTTTTTTTCTCTGTCTGAAATTTGGTGGGGTGATATTTCTGTAGGCAGATACACAGGCCTGCTTCTGCCAGCTCCATAAAGCATCTTCCCCTCAGCTGCCCACCTGCATGAAGCTGCAGAGCATCCCAAGTGCAAGTGGTGGCCAAACTTCGCTGTATTTGTGAAGTTCTGTGAGCAGAGGGATTAGAGATGTAGCATCTTGCTTAAAAAAATGAGATGCTTGCTTTGTCTTTGCCTCTGCTGGGTTAACAATGCCTTATTTGTTGGGAAGAGGGATCTGAGCTTCCCTAAACTAAGACAGACATTTGGTGTCAGTTGCCTTGACTCTGGCTGTCGTGGTGGAGAGCCAGCAGTGCTGTCCTGTGTTGAATCCAAGGAAAGGCTGAATTTGGGCCAAGCTGTTTCTAGGGTGCAGTGGGGTTTCCAAGTCTCTGGCCACCTGGGAAACTGGGCCCCAGTGGGTGTAGCAGGAGAGGGGGATGGCCCAGGCCACTGCTCATAGCTGCGTGACAGCTGTGACCAGAACAGGGGCTCTGAGTGACCCCCTGTCCTCTGGGGTGAGGTTGGAATGAGGGGTTGTTGCCTGGAAAGCCAGCATGGCTGCAATTTGGATGCCACGGAAACAATAGGAGCTAATTATTTCCTCTGATTCTGCTTGACTACAACACTAATTGTACTCATTAACAGCTCCAGCCTTTTCCCCTTTTCCTTGGGGAATCGCACAATTGCCTTTCATTTTTAATAGAGCCTTTGCATTGGGCCCAGGAGGGGAGTCTGCAGTCAGTGCTGGGGCACATCTCCTGCCCCACGTGCTCTGCACAGTCCCCCAGGAGAAGGGGCTGCTTGGGCCAATTTGGTCGTGACCGCAGAACTGTCAGCCCGTGTCTGGGACAATTACCAGCCTTGGGGACTGGGAGACCTTCAGCCTCATGACTCCAATTGCAAATTCCTTGTCTTACTACTGAAGTCTAGACTGAAAACAGCCAGGACTGGCAGAGAAAGCAGTTGAAAATATTCAGTCTTCTGAAGGGTTTGTTTTCCGCATTGAGGGTGTCAGTCCTAGGCTGTCTCTAGAGACGTTCAGCGCTCTGACAGCAACAACTAACTGCTCCCTGTGGTCAGGCACTTGGCATCTGGCTGTGTTCCCCAACCTGTGGTGGCATCCCTCTCCGTGTTTCTTGAGACCCCACGGTCCTGTTCCTGCTCTTGCCACATGTTTGTCACCAGCTCTCAACCAAATGCTCTTTTCCAGGCACAATTTGTTTTCCCTGCTGTGATCAGGTATTACTATGGCTGCTACTTAAGATTCCTTTTAAATACAACTCTCCCCTGCTGCTCTCCAGTATTTGTTAGGGGGGATTTAGTTGTAATTACATTCTGGCAATCTAAGCAAAAATAGCCTTGCAAGACAGGGCTGAAATACTAGCTGCAGGCTCCTTTATTCACAGCACATTTAGCTTCTTGCAGATGACATCACTTGGGGTTTTAGTGCTGTTGTTGTGCCCAGCTGCGTGTCACATCCACCTCTGCTATTTCATGTACTCGCCCACTTCTCGCCTCTGATGCCCCGCATCTAAGCTGGTGCTGATGAGTGCAGGCTTGCTATTAAATCTGAAAGTGCTGCGGTCCTGCTGTGCTCGCCCTCAAATACGCTTTGCGAGTGAGCTGTGGAAGGGCCCTTCTCGGGGAGGCTGTTCCTCTCCTCCCACTGCCGCTGTGGTTGAGACTTAGAGGAACTCAGCAGTGGTTCCTGTTGCTCAGCCTTGAAGGGAGAGAGCTGGCTGGGCGTGGAGTTTGTCCTCTTTAAGGCTACAACTTTTCCAGAGGTCAGGAGAAAAGCAGTGTTCGATTAGTGCCAAGCACCAGGTCTGGTGCCTCCTATGGCCTGGAGAGCCAAACTGGTTTTTGGGCAGGACTTTTGGTTTGTGGTCTGCTGTGTCCTGCTAATAAGAGTGGTGAAAACAGAAGCATGGGGTTGTTTGGGAGTGGAAGGAGCCTCTGTCAAGCTCTAGAAAAAGATTTCAGGTCCTCTTCACTCAGGAAGGAAGCCTCTAGCCACAGGCGCCCCAAATTTGCAGTGAGTCAGGACCTTCCCTGCTTTCCTCATCCTGAAGGCTTTGTACACCTTTAAACTTCCTCAGATTCCTGCAAAGTGGCCTTTGGGGAAACTGGAAGGGCTTTGAACCCCTTGAGGCCCTGGAGACCAAAGAAGAACATCCCCTTGGGCTCTTTTTTCCTAAGGGGATGCTGAGCTGTGGGTGGGCTTACGGGTCCTGGGTGTCTCTGGCTACAACTGATCAAGTGGGGGCTGATGGCTCTTCCCAGCCCACAGAGAAAAGCGAGTTCCTGTTTTGGAGGGGCACAGCTGGGGAACGCTTGGAGGATGCTGTTGTCTTAGTGCTTCCTGATGGAGTGTGGGCACGTGAGGCTGATATGGGGCTGGGGAGGCTTTTCCTCTCTCACTGCAACTCACCCCAGCACCTGCAAGGTATTCCCTCACCAAGGGGCCTGCAAGGCACATCTACTGCTCGAGACCTGTGACATGCTGGCTATTGTTCTGTTCTTATCTCTGGTGTGGTGATAAACCTCAGAAATCTCCTGAGGGCTGGTAAAACCGCTGCTTGGGAATGGTAGAGAGTGTGGTTTCAGTCATGTGCTCTTGGCAGGCTGGAAGAGCTCATCTCTTTCACTTGTGCTGTTTGCTGAACTCATTGGAAGAAGCAGCGTCTCTGTGGAGTGGGGAGAACTAGGTAACTAGAGACTGGCAGAAGGGCAGTGGGGATGCAGGAATCAATGGGAAATGGCCAGGTAAAGACAGACCAGAGCTCATTAATTCTGCACCTTCTCAGGGACAGAGGGCCCAGGGGCTGCAGACGTGCCTGGTGCTCTGGTTTGGGCAGCTTACAGCAGCTCCTGGCTCTCACTGGGCTGGGAACACTTGGCTGGGAGAGTGTCCCTTTAGGTACTGAGAGGACATAGCTGTGGTGGGACAGGAGTACGGTGCAGTGCCATCACTTACCAGCAGAAGGTCAGTGGCTTGGAGTACAGTGCCCCGGGACTGGTCACCTCACCTGGGTCGTGGCCACAGGGCTGCTCCCATGGGAGGTGACCCAGGCTGGGAACAGGATCCAGATAAGGTCCTCTGGGCATCTCTGCCTACACTGGTGAGCACCATCCCCACCTCCTTCAAGGTGCCAGCCTGGAGCACTGGATCCACCCAGTCTTGGTGCTGTGGGCACTACATCTTGTAGGGATAGGCAGGAAAAGCCACCTTGTGATCTCAAAGCGACTGGGTATTTGCCTCCCTCCATCCATGCCTGCAGTGCCCTCACCTCTGGCAGGCAGTGCCAGGAGCAGTTGTGGGCAGTAACCAACTGGTTTTCTCCCAGCAGCAGCAGAGACAACCGGTACTGGGACCATGAGGTGGATGGAGACACAGCACGTCCCAGAGCCAGGCACAGGTGGCATGAGCTGGATCGCAGAGGAGCAGATGCTGCTTCTCACCATTCCCAAGCTGACCTCTCTCATCTCCCCTACCAGCAGGGACAAAGCCAGGGGGCCCCAGAGGTCACTGAGGGGTCTGGGGGAGATGCAGCATTGCTGGGAGGAGGGGAAGGGGCTGTGCTTGACAGAGTTGATCCCATGGGGCAAGGAAGGCTGGTGGGGGAGGGAGGTATGTGCTGATGCTCGTAACAGGATAGATGCCAAGGGGTACACATCCCTGAGGAGGTTTTAGTGCCTGGGGGCCCAGGGTCTTCTCACCTCAAACTGCTTGCTAGGGATCAAGGACAGCACTTCAGATGTCCCCAAGAGCCACAGCCAGGGCATAAATGGAGGGAGGAGTTAGCTGCCCCTCATCCCATCCCTGGCTCCACTGCTGCCCCAGAATGGGGGGCTGTAGCTGTCATTCCTGCCCCATTGCCATGGCAAGGGATTCCAAGGGCCCCATTTGCTGTGGGTTTGAAGTTGCAAATTTGCAGTGGGGAAATGTGCTCTTGCTGCCAGTGCTGCTGCCCTGCCCGTTAGATGCCTGTCTCTGCTCCGGGCCCCCTGTGTCTCACCTCACAGGACTGTGTGGCCCAGAGGTGTGTGGCCAGCCCACACAGGTGTCACATCCAACCTGCCCAAGAGGGTTTGGCATGGAGAAAAGATCCCATTGAGGATTGCAAGACTGTCACAGGCTTTATTTCCACAGTTAGCAAGCATTGCCCCCCTCGTGTTCTCATTTTCCCCATCTCCACCCGCAGCTGGGGTGTGGCAGACCCACCACTCCCAGCCCTCCCTCTTGGCAGCAGGAGCTGCTGTGCCCACAGGGATCTTGGCCAGCTGGGGGACTTTAGGGGTGCCCAGCCCCTGGCTCCAGCAGTCCTGGCAGCAGGAGGACTGGTGGACACCTGCGGGCGTCACTGTGGCTGGTACAGCTTGGAGTCTCCAGGGAAGGGCAGGGCAGGTGCCTGGTTGAAGTGAGCCACGAGGAAGATGCCAACAGTGCCACACACGAAGAGAGAGGCCATGATGAAGAAGCAGACACGGTCAATAACCTGTCCTACCATGATCCACTCCTCGCTCTCCTGCCAGTGGCACAAGGAAGGTGAGGGCTGTCCCCAGTGCCCCCCACGTGAGTTCCTCTCCCCCCTGGTCCTGACTCACACTGCCGAAGTCGTTCTGCTCCCTCGTGGCGTTGGCGATGTGGTTGCAGGCATCCACACACGCACGGATCTCGGGACCTGCCTCCTCCAGGCTCTGGCAGAAGTCCTGGGGACTGCCACTCTCCAGGCCACGTCCTACGAGCAGCAGAGGCAGCATAGCGGGCACCTGTGAGCGCTCAGCCCCCTGGTACATTTCCCAGCTTGATGGGAAGGTACTGACCCCATGGGGGCACTCACCAATTTTCTCCAGCACAGTTTTCATCAGCCCATCCCTCTCCTTTTGCTTCTCGAAGAGCAGCTCAGTCCGGGCTTTCCAGAGCATGTACTCGTCGGCTTTC